TTAAATATAATGATAAGATCATCGAACAAGTAGCAAGTACTAAATTTCTGGGTATAATGTTGGATCAAAATTGCGACTGGAAAACACATGTCGATTACGTTTGTGACAAACTCGACAGATTTGTCTACGCAATAAAGAGATTACGAGTCACGGTATCAACTGATGCTGCTCTATGTGCATATCACGGATATGTTTCATCAGTACTATCATATGGTCTTTTATTGTGGGGCAATTCAGTAGATATAATAAAAGTATTTAGAGTACAAAAAAAATGTGTGCGTGCAATCTATGGAGCAGGGTATACGGATAGCTGTAAGCCCTTGTTTAAAAAGTACAATATCTTAACATTAACATGCTTGTACATTAAATAAATATGCATATTTGTAAAACAGCATCCTGAACACTTTGAAAGGCAAATAGATGTAACTGAACGAAATGTAGCTCCTAGAAATAAACATTAATTATACTTACCTCAATGCGGGCTCAAATTGTATGAAAGGAACTCTTACGTAAATGAACTCTTACATAAAAAAGGTGTATAACAAAATACCCAACGACTTTAAAGAGTTACCTTTAACCACGTTTAAAAAAAAGTTAATACAATGGTTAAAAGAAAAATGTTTTTACGATCTAAACGAATTTATGTCTTTTAGTGGAAAATAAATCCGAAGTCAGTAATATTGATATATATCTAATAATTAATTAATTACAAACAAAATGAAAGTATGGACATTAACACTTAAGAACAACCATTAAACAATGTGACATTTTAATTGAATTCCCACTTGTAAATTTTTTTTTGCATGTATACTAATTAAATCTTTGCACACCATATAAAATGGTAGAATGTAAATGGGCCATTATTCATAATTTAAGATCATACTTTATTGTACACATACATTCTGGCAAATAAATGAATTTGAATTTGAATTTGACTCTGTGAACCAGAACTGCTACAACGTAACTACTAATGCCGTTTATAATATCGTTTCCAGGTGACGAATCATGGATTTATTCATACGAACCTGAAAGAAAACATCAGTCAGCAATTTGGGTCTTTGAAGACGAGTTCAACCCAACGAAAGTGGTTCGCCCCCGCAGCGTGTCAAAGAAAATGGTCGCTACGTTTGTCTCGAAAAAGGGGCATGTTGCTACAATTCCTTTACGGCGGTTCTACACGTTGGTCAACACAGTGGCGCATGTAGTGGCGAAGATATTGGCCACGAGTTTGTGATGGCATCCACACGTTGGAAGGCCGTTTAGTTTGCTTCGGTTCAGACCAATGTACGGACGAATTTATTTTATTTAAGACGACGGCTCCGTGGCGCAGTGGCTTAGCAATGAGTGGCTGCGCCGGTGGCCGCGGGTTTGAATCCTGCACGGAACTAGTATTTGTATGTCCTACAAATAATTGTTCCGCGTCAGGATGTGTGTCCTTGTGCAATTTATGTTTGTAAACTGCCTCCGCGATACAGGAGAAAATCCTAGTGTGGGGGTAACATTTTTATAAAAGAATTATAAAAGAATAGTGAATATTAATGGGGCTGTAAATAGATATACGAAATGTATGAATTGCATATTGTCAGCCGTCAGGCTGATATTTGGCTTTTCATACCTAATAAAAAGTACTTTATTTCACCCATGTAATATAAACTGGACTTTTATTTATTTATTTAGCTTTATTTATTCCTTACATGCATCATAAACTGGAATAAATACCATTAATTATAACTTATTTTAAAGTAAAAGGAGTTATAATCGATTCGTCTATGTTTAAAATTGGGTTTTGATTTTAAAGTTTAGTCAAAGATGTACTTGCTTTTCCATCAGACATTCGATGTATATAAAACACCTTATAATTTATTTGAAAATTTAATTATTTTTTGAGAAAGACAAAAACAAGCAATAAATATAATTAACACTGATTTAATTATAAGAACTAATTATAACATAGAACATAAATGAAAATCTCATGACGAGGAAAGTGGCTCAGGATCAGCACGAGGAGGAGGATGTTCACTAGTGGACTTGTGAAGGGCTATAATGATGATTATTATTCGAAAACTTGCACGATTAAATTATTAGAAATCGACGTTTTTTTCTTTTATAGGATAGGGTGACAAACGAGCACACAGTACACCTGATGGTAAGTGGTTACTGTGATCCACAGACCTCTACATCTATCCTCGATTACGAATAAAAATGCGGATGCGTTGTCACCTGTGAGGTTCCCAGTAAAAAGGTTCTCCGGTTCTCTACACTCACCATACGAAACACAGCAGCATTGAGCTACTATTTTACGCTGGTATTCTATGAGAGCGTGGTCCTTCCCCGGTCGAGCCGATCTATTCGTGCTACAACTATATTTCTAATATAACTGCATGGCTACCACGTATAAACGACGTGCTTCATTTTTTTTTCATTTTAAAATTGTTCTCATAACAATCTGATTGTAAATAAATGTTCAATATGTTTTTTTTTTGATAAATATCTCCATTATAACAAATGTTTAAAAAAATGAAATCACGCTAATTAAAGTAGTAGCAATGTTTAAAGTTGAAATTGGCACTAAAAGGCTGGTAATAGGGGCATCCACCCTACAAAGCGTGAATATAAAATTTAAATCAGATGCGTATAATCACTCCGGGAGCTTGTAGTAAACTAAACGCGCGCCCAACGTGTGGATGCGACGACCAAACTCTGCCAATAATTCTTTGATCTTTTGTAAAAAACCGACACCACACGGATCTCGCGCCAACTTGTGGGCCATCGTTCCAATACATACCAATGACGCACAAACACTCGCTCTACACGTTGGCCAATGCTATTGGCCACTACATTCGCCACTGTGTTAGCCAACGTGTAGAGGCGCCGCGGCGGCTGTATACGTTGGCCAACACAGTGGCGAATGTAGTGGCGAATATATTGGCCAAGAGTTGGTGACAGCGTCCACACGTTGGAAGGTCGTTCAGTTTACTTCGGTTCGGGCCAATGTGCGGACGAATTTATTAGACGACGGCTCCGTGGCGCAGTGGCTTAGCAATGAGTGGCTGCGGTGGGGGCCGCGGGTTTGAATCCCGCACGTATTTGTATGTCCTACAAATAATTGTTCTGGGTCTGGATGTGTGTCCCTGTGCAATTTACGTTTGTAAGCTGCCCCCGCAATACAGGAGAAAATCTAAGTGTGGGGGTAATGTTTTTATAAAAGAATTATAAAAGAATAGTGAATATTTATGGTGCTGTAAATAGATATACGATTAGCTTTATTTATTCTTTACATGCATCATAAACTGGAATAAATACCATTAATAAGAACTAAACTTATTTTAAAGTTAAAGGAGTTATAATCGATTAGTCTAGTTTTAAAATTGGCTTTTGATTTTAAAGTTTAGCAAAACATGTACTTGCTTTTCTATCAGACATTTGATGTATATAAAAACACCTTATAATTTATTTGGTAATTTAACTATTTTTTGAGAAAGACAAAAACAATAGGAATAAATATAATTAACACTGACTTAATAATAGGTACTAATTATAATTTAGAATATAAATGAAAAACTCATGACAAGGAAAGTGGCTCTGGACCATGCTTTGCGGCAGTCTGTGGAGGAGGATGATCAGTAGTGGACTTGTGAAGAGCTGTATGATGATTCGAAATCTTGCACGATTAAATTATAAGAAATCGACGTTTTTTTATAGGATGGAGGACAAACCAGCACACAGTTCACCTGATGGTAAGTGTTTACTGTGGCCCACAGACATCTACGTCTATCCTCGATTACGAATCAAAATGCAGATGCGTTGTCACCTGTGAGGACTAAGATGAAATGCCTCGTTTCCTTTAAAAAGGGTCTCTGGTTGTACACTCACTATACGAAACACAGTATCATTAGGCTACTATTTTACGCTGACATTCTGTGAGAGCGTGGTCCTTCCCCGGTCTATCTACACGTTGGCCAATAGCATTGGCCACTACATTCGCCACTGTGTTGGCCAACGTGTAGAGGCGCCATTACAGGAACGCAGAACGGTTATCGCTGAGAGGTATATCATGGTTTGTTTGCCAGAAATGATGTCCAAACGATTTCTTTACATTCCCTAGAATGAAAAATTTATCACGAGGTCAACGGTTTGAAGACCCCAAAGCAGCTGTGGAAGCGTACAAATCAGCCATTTTGTCAACATCAACTTCAGACTGGAATTACTGTTTTAATTATTGGTTTGCACGAATGGAAAAGTGCATTAGATTTAACGGAGAATACTTCGAAAAACAATAAAATACAATTTAACTATACCGTGCATGTGGTTTTTCTTATTCCCGATCATTTCAGTGTGCCCCTCCGTATTTCAGTGGCCGAGAAAAAAAATACAACACACAATTGCATTTTGTAGGTGTCTGTCATTAATGATTTCCTTCCACTAATATTGACAAAAATGCTGCAGCGTAATTGATAATAGCGTTAAAAGCTCATAAGTTAACGCCCGAAAACAGGAGCTTCTCACCTAACTCGTACTCGATGTACTAATACTGACTGGAAAACTAACAATTTGTTATACAAGTATTTAGGGTTAACTCGAGCTCATACCTGTTTTCCGCCCTTACTAAATAAAGTAATAAAAGACAGTATAATATTTTAATGTAATTCGAATTATAAATATATTTTACAAGTACTCAAATTAAATCTAGCTTAAATTAAATCACTGTTAAAAATGCATTTTTTTGCTATATAGATAACCACAGTTGTATGTTAGCAACACTTGCCTGTTTTCGTTAGCTGTGCTGTCGAGTATATATATGTTCTATAACGATATTTACCTTTTAAAATTTAAAATCACCTATGTGGTACGTTGCGTTCAATCACAATCACTCTACGAACATTTTTCCATAAAGGGCAGTGCTGTTTTTTCACTTAACGAGGTCACTTTCGTTTAAGGTTAACCGGCTCAAGCCCTGCACCTGAGATGGCCTTTGGGAAAGATATGGCTGGAGGTTGTTCTCAGGACAGTGTCAATCTCTTATGCCTAGGCGGCACGGGGGCAGGAGGTGCGGCCTTAGATTTCAGTAGACTCTTTATTATGCCACCTGTGTAATAGAAAAGATAGATGCCCGACAGAACAGCGAGTGCGACGAACAATGTGACGCTGGCAATGACGATGCCATACCATGCGGTTCCAATAGACTGCTTGGGCGTAGGTAGATTTGGTTTTCTGATCGGAGGCACGTATTTTGGCCCTGGGCGTCTTGCCGACGTCGTGAAGCGGCCCTCTATGGTTATGTCAGCGCACGCTCTGAACTCCTCCTGCGGTCCGCAGCCCACGGCACTTGTTCCGTTCGCACACGTACCCCAATTGTTGCCAGCTATGTACCTCCACTGTAACACACAGTGTGAGCATACCAGGTTATCTGGCAATTTATATTTCATCTCGTAAACTAGACTTCCTTCTTTAGGGTAGTATCTCGTTTCATTATTATTATCAATTAAACATTCTTGTCCAAGCATTCTTGCGTGGTGGCTTTTGGTTCTTCGCTGACCCTGAACTCAAAGTAGCCCATGTGGCTGGCTGTCAATTGCACTTTGATAACGATAGTTTCATTGAGTGTATACCGTCAGACGATAACGCCCTTCCCGTAGCGGCCGCCAAGTTCGTGCGCGCGCGGTATGGGAGAGTCCCAAGGGTCGCCGCACACGCCGCATTTAACATTGTTACTAGTCCATTGCCGCGTAAATCCTCCGCAGTATGATTGATTATCGTTGTAGTCGGTCGGTGTATCAATCAAATCCGAATCGCCAGGCGGAGGCTCTGGAGGGCGGTTCAATAAGTTTGCCGTGCCCGCTCACTCCCGTCCATAGGGTGCCTTGAACTGCTAACAGGCAACACAGGATCTGAAAGAAATAAAAATATGTATTCCTAACGCATATTTATTTACTTATAATATTGTTGCGCGTCATAGTTGATGCATGGTACAAGGCACTAGTGCCATTTAGTTTCGAGAAGCAAAACTAACCTTTCTAGAAAATTCCATCCCAGAACTTTCTACACCTAGTCGGTCAGAACCGGTATGTGCTCGAACATTCTAGATGTTTCAATGGGAAAGGCCTATATAAGGCCAGTTGGGAACACGACCGGGGGAGTATTGAATTGGCGAGTCAAGCGAATATTTCAAAGCGATATAACTGCGAACTAAAGTGTTGTGATTAATTGTTAGTGTGTTTTAAGTTTTAATTGGTGCTCAGAATTAAAGTGTCAATTTTGGTAATTCAATCGGCAGTTTTTATTGTCACGAACCTTAAGCTCGTAACAATATATTACATGATATTTCGAATATCTGTATATTTTGAATTAAAAAAAATTCTTTTAGTAAGTTTTAAAAATCGGCTGGATCCCAAACTATGGTCCAATAAATAGTATTTCTTGCAAGATGTTGCATCATTTAATAATGAAAATGATCAATAATAATTTAGATCAATAATTTAATACCGACATAATTTATGACATACACAATCTTTTACAACTTTAAACGTGCTGCTCTGCCACTCACAGGATAAGATGTGGTGATGGACCTTTTTACGTCGCCCCCAGGTGGATAATTTTAAACGCTAATGATTTAGACAACTTAAGAGTGAAAGCATTCAAAAAATAAATTCAGGAAAACCTTAATAATGAATCTGCATGTTTATTTTAAAGTTGTAACTGTTTGTGAACTTAAATGTAAACTTTACCATTTATTGTCATACTTTCATAAAATGAGCATTATGTTAAAATCAGAGTATAATATAAGTGACTATCAATCCAATAACTGAGTTTCTATCAGAACTGTCAGTTGTGCCGGTCACGGCACAATGTGATTACATCAAGTCGCAGTCAATTTACATTCGAACTGGCCAATTTCGTTGTGTGTTTATTGAAATGATAATAATTGATTCCTTCAGGTTCTTTGACACCAATTAGTAAAGCTTGTTTTAAATTACATTATACAAACTACTTATTAAGCTAAATTATTAGAAATTAGTTTGTGGAAATGCTGGACATAGGATGTCCCTTCCGCTGTTTGAAAAATTAGAAAATATCGTTATCATATTTATTAAATGCAAGACATCTACTAGAATCGCCAAGTGTAGGTGGTGATTGTTGACATCAAACACCTTCGTCGCTGGTATTTATACATTACAAGATGGTAAATTTACCGTCCGATGGTGGCTTCCTCTGACATTTTCCGGAGCTGACGCTTACGGCAACCACAAACGAGATGAGCAGATGAGATGAAATAAATAAAATGAAGCAGCAAAAGTTGTCTTTTTTTCTCAACTTAATATAAATGCTTAAAATGTGATATATTCACATAAAACTAATTTTACGGATTTCTAAACTTTATACTTTACAGCAGCTATGTTCAAGGGGATCCCTTCTGTGACCATGGGTGCTGTAAAGTGCTGAAAAAAAAATTTGAAGTAAGCGCTATAATAATTATTATAGTTTTGTAATGGAATATAGTAGTATAATAGTAAATACATGAATATAGACTATAAGTCACAAGTTGCTATTAGAAAACTTGAAAGCATCGGAATCAAAGGTAGTGCTCTTAAAATGTTTAAATCATACCTATCAAATAGATCGCAAGTAGTGAAGCTGGATAATTTTCAAAGTAGTGCCTTACCTATCACGCATGGTGTGCCGCCGGGATCTATACTTGGGCCACTCCTATTTCTAGTCTATATTAACTAAATCGCAGGTTACATGGTTATCTAACTTTGTACGCTGGCGATACATGTCTATTTTGTTTCGGATCTTAAATACATGATATTATCTTGCATGTGCAAGAAGATCTAGAACAATTGTCTGAATGGTTCCGATATAACTTGCTAACGGTAAACACTTCTAAAACATGTTACATAATTTTTAAAGTCAAGAACAAAACTATACCATTACATGACCCACTGATAATTGATAACATCCGCTTAGAACAAAAAAACCTGCGAAAAATACCTAGGCTTGAGAATGGACAATTACTTAACATGGAATAGCAAATAGATCACATTAAAAGTAAACTTTCGGCACTTACTGGATCACTTCACAATATTTCCCATTGTATACCTAAAAAAATGCGTTACACTATTTATAACTCATTAGTTAAATCACATTTAATAATAATAATAATAATAATAATAAATTTTATTGCCTCTAAAACACACAGTTACATTCACGTTAAAAACAAAAGAACATTATAATTATTTGAGACAAAAGGAGACGGCTCAGCTTTGTCTGTAACGAGATACAGATCTCATACAGAGCTGTTTTTCAGCCGCTCCCTCCTCCCTGAGGTGTTGTTCGGGAGTCCAAAGTAGCAGGCTCCCCATTTACCTGACTTATACTTTTAAGCTATGTACAAAGTAATTAAATATTATATCAATATAAAATATTTTTTTAATTAAAAAATATTATATAAATATTAAATCGCAAATACAAAAAAAGATTAAAAACATTAAAGACAAAATAAAAACATTTAAAAATATGCATAAAACAACCATTACGAATGAACTAACAACAGATTACTTTATCTTATAGAAATTTGGGGCAATGCCGCTAAAACCAAGTTACAGGAACTTCAAAGAATACAAAATAAAATCATAAAAATACTTTTTCACTATCCCTATTTAATAGCAACTTCTAAAATTTTCAAAGAAACAAAACTTATGAACGTTCAACAACTACATACATATAATACTTGCATTATAATTAGGAAAATACTAGATACAACCATGCATACTAACTTGTCCTTTGTAAAAAAATCACAAATTTGTAAACGCAGTATTCGTCGACCTAGCTTACTTGTACTACCAAAGGTACGAACAAACTACGCAAAAACAACGCATTACCTTTGAAAGAGCATAGATTTATAATAAATTGCGTTGTAATATAAAAAATGTAAGCTCATTTAGTAGTTTTAAGTCTCAACTATCACAATACGTAATTGAATATTTTTCACCATTAAATTGAGGCTATGAAGTTACTGACTGAGTGTTCGGCGACCATTAGAATAAGTATATTAAATAATAATATAATAATAAGGCGTAGGGAAGTGACGACCCCATCACCCGCTGACGTAACGGTTATCTGACAAAACCGCTACTTCAGCGCAGTCAGTCAGCACCTTGCTAAGAGGTGTTAGTGCCGTGCCTCGGCAAAAATTGAAGGTGCAAAGGCCTGCTTGTGCACATGGCCCACCATGCAACTGCGCCGGTTCTGGGTGTCTCCCACATGAACGCCCACAAAAATGGATGATGGATTTGACTAGAATGCGCAAAGGGCCGCTGCCTGGAGGACGCCAGGGCGCGTCTGGAGCTGGCGCTGGACGCGACAGCATGCGAACCGCCAGCCAACGAGCGCGAGGTGCTGCACGACCACCCAGCATCCCCTCGCATCCATCATCCCCACCAGCTGGCTTGGTGTCGGCAGGGTCTTCGCGGGCCCAGCAATCGGTACCCGCCACTGGTGGAGCACGCCGCATGCGTTGGACAACTCAAATAAACAGCAACGCATTGCGGGCGTATTTTAGGGCGAAAGGGGGAGAAATTGGAGGTTTTGCGTATCGGGCAAGGATGCATCGACTTTTTGCTGAGCTGGAGTCATCTGTAACCGTCACCGAGCAAAACCTGGCAGACCGAGTTCGGTATATCTTGCGCTCGAATACATTTGATGTCGCCGAACTCGAACGGCTACGACGTGAGGCTATTCCTTCATCGGATGAAAATGCTATGGCTGAGGATGCGGTGCCACAACTTGCAGAGCAACTGGCAAACGTGGTTGCCGCCGTGAACACCCCAGTTTTAGTTGATTCAAATGATGATGGAACAGTCGCCCAGGAACTGGAACTGGAGCAAACGAGGAGTACATGGGATGAGGCAATTTTGGAAACGCGCAGTACGCCTTTCGAAAATCGACCGCAATTTCCCCGCATAGCCCTAATCAAGCGGAATCGGGTTATCGTGAGGGCTCTGAACCCAATGCTGGTGACCTATTTGGAAGCCAGCCGGGACCTTTGCGAGACAGACTCAATTCTCTTTGACGCCGCACTGGCAGTCTGCCGTATAATAGTGCCAAACTTTCCACGGCTGGACGCACTACTGGACAAAGTAGTGCTATCCCAGCCTGGAGAACAAGAATTGAAGAACGTATCGCAAAGGCTAGGGTCCTCATTGGCAGACTGATATGCTTCAGGTCATGCAATACCAGGCCAAGGATTGTGCGCACCGTCAGGATGGCGTTTGCTTTGACAAATGTTAGTTTGTCCCAGCCGGATATAATGCATAACTGACGGAGCGCATAGATGACCTGAAGCAGAGAATCGCTGCTTGGGGAAAGCGGATTCGGCGATATAACGAGAGGTCGACATGGTTCAACCAGAATCGTCTCTTCCAGAGTGATCAGAAGAGGCTCTATAAATCATTGGAGCGACCAAGGGTAAGTGGAACGGGCCCAGTACCGAATCAGGCCGACACGG